GGCTGTGTGTTCTATTGGTCAGTTCCCCCCCCCCCCCAAAGTAACCTGTTGATATGTTCTCGAAGGCTTTCACGGCCAGGATCTGATGGTTCTTGTGGGTTTTTCAGGCTGTTGGGCTTGTTCTGGAGGTTTTTCTTGCTAACCTTTCGCCCGTCTCTGTGGCCGCCATCTTCAGAGGACAGAAGTCAGAACTCTTGTCTGTGTCCAGAACAAAGCCAAACAGCCCGAAAAACCCACAATGACCTGTTGATAATTTGTCTTCTCGTAACCACAACTATGGCTTGCTGAACTCTGGCACCTTAATAGAGGGACCTTAAGTTGTTACACTAGTTAGCTTGGCCCTTCCAGATCAAACTCAAGAGGCCAAGTCATGTGGGAAAGTTCCTCACTGTAATGATAGCAACATTAAATGGCCATTTGCATATCAAACATCTAGTGCTGTATCTTATGCAGCAGAGTTATTTCAGCAGTTATATTCAGTGGCTGAAGGACTGACTAATAAAATGAAGTACATGCACAGTGGGAGCCAAGCTAAGATTGTTCAAATTCATTTAGGACATACTGTCCTTTTTTAATGGCTAGTCTAAGATAATCTTAACCTCACCTCTGTAGAGCAATGGTTCCCAACCTTGGGACCACAGATGTGCCTGGACTAAAACTCCCAGAAGCCTTAACCACTAACTGTGCTGGCCAGGATTTCTGGGAGTTGTAGTCCAAGAACATCTGGAGACCCCAGGTTGGGAACTACTCTAGAGGAATTGGGAACATGTGGCCTTCTGGGTGTTGGTAAACTGCAACATCCATCAGTCCTAGGCAACATAACCTCAACATGTGGAGAGCCACACATTCCCTATTCCAGACTAAATATCATTGCTGGCCTTCTATTTACAGCAAAATGGTCTATCCATCAGCTCCTCACTCTTCGATGTAACACAGGTTGGGATCCATTCTAGGTACTGAAAGGCTGCTGTCTTGTGCTACACGCGAGACACTCTCTTTAACAATTATAATTATATTTAAAGGGGGTGTGGATGCGTGGCCATATAAGGTCACCAAGCCCCTGAAGAAGGTGGGGCCAGTTCTGTTGCTTAACTGAGTAAGGACCCAAGCTGCCATCCTTTGCCCACTTTTAAACCAACACGCTGGAGGAGTCTTCCACATTTGACCACAAGAGTAGACGTTGTCTAGAGGGGCGGGGTAAAAATCGAATGAATAAATAAATAAATAAATGGGTAGAAAAACAAAACAGATCAGGCACCTAACCTGTGAGCTCTTTCCACCGCCCTGAAGCCTTAGCTTGTCTGAAGGGCAAACCCAGCTCTGGATCCTTTGAACCCCCTTGTAAGCTGCTTACATATTTCCTTAATAGCTATTTGAACTTTCAAGGAGGCATTAAGCTAATGACTTTAATGACACAGAGGCTCTGGCTGCGGGCATTCAAACACTGCTCACACCTTCGTTTGCCTGGAAGATACCCAGATTTTAAAGGGTTGCATCAGCTGCTGATTTAGGAGGTTCCTGAAGCTACAAAGTCTTGTTATAGGCACCTTATAGGGTTTTTTTAAAACGTCCTCACAAACTTTTAACAAACCATATCTCACCCCACCCCAATCCTGACCTACCTATATTGATTGAGGGGATAAACTCAGGATTTATAGTTTGGTGAAACCTAAAAACGGTCCAACATCAACAGAAATGGTCTTTTAAAAAACCACCGTGTGAGCTGAGATTTTAAAGGCCCACCTTCTGCAAAGAAAAGCAAAAGGCTGCTTCTTTCTGTGCTGGTTTACCTTTTTGCTGAGCTCTCCTGTAATTCAGTCCCGGAAAGCGTGCCGCCATCGCCCTGTGCTGCCCCTTCCACTTAAGAGAATACGTGCTTATCATCAAAAGAAAGCAGCAACTCTCCCTGTGGCGATTCCTAGAGCCTCAGACTTTTAATTGGGCCACAGCTGCAAGCGGTGAGGAATTACCTGCATACCGGCCGAGTCAGTCTCAGCCTGGAGCACCATAGAAGGCCAGAAAGTTATCTAGGACAAGATGCATTTGCATTTCTGCAGCCCGCACCAGGGCAGGGAGAGCCAGGGAGGTGTAGTGGTTAGAGCGTTGGCCCTGGGACTGGAGAGGATCCAGTTCCACTCTGCAGCGAGTCACACTGGGTGACCTTGGGTCAGTCTTTCTTTTGCAGAAAAAAAATGGGGGGGGGGGAGGGAGGAGAGCCATCCAGGTTGTTTGGAGCTCAGTAAAGGAAAGGTGAGACCTTCGAAGGGTTGATTTGGAACTCGGTTCCCCAAGTCCAAGGGGCATCATGGCCACTGAGCTGCCCAAGTGCTGGTCCAAAAAAACCAACAACAAAAAAGAACTTCCATGTTTTTAGAAAGATGTAACCAATGAACGATCAACAATTATTTCTGACACGTTCTAATGGAGAAGTCCATCATAGTTTTCTGATTTTGTTCAGGGAATCATATGTTGGGCACAATTGGGCCGAGGGCAGTTTCCCTTTCGAAGGAATAGAACCAACTTCGTGGCCCATCTCCATACATGCATGTATACATATATGCATTTAGCAGTCACTGAACTGGATTTAAAGCACAAGGAGCAGAAACCTCCACATACAAAACGCTTCAGTTTTTATTCTGGGGTAGGTGCACTTAAAGGGAACTGCAGCGAAAGCCAAGATTCAAATCATGACACGTTTAAAACTAGCAGCACAAATGCCCAGACAGAGGCAGGTTGCTTACATGTTGTGATCCTCTCCTGTTAACTTTCTCAACAGGAACAGCTACAGACACAGTCCCCCGTCCCCTCAACTTTAGGACCTGTTTCAGGTCTTTAAAGGCCTCGAGGAGGAGGAAAAGATGATGATGATGATCATCTTCTGTTTCTGCTTCTAACAAGACTTTCAGGGTCTCAAGGATGTGAAATTATCTTTGGAAGTAAGACTGCTACCCCATCTTCTGTGGTGGGGTGACCTGCCTTGAGGGGAAATTTATACAAAGGTCTTTTGGGATGGGGCTCAGCCATCCAAAGGAGGGCAGAAATGGTCCTTAGGCTCTTAGAAGTTGCCCGTACCGACATTTTAGTTTCCACCCTAACTCTCAAACAGTAAAGTACCTACCTGGAAAAGAATTCTCAGAGACCTATCCGATGAACAGCTGTTACGTGGAGCCCAGCTCCGAAGAATTCTCAACAGGATTCACTCCACAATGCAGATGGAGGCTTACAATTTTGGCTGCTCCCACATATAAAGAGCTGTTTCCCCATGTATATCAGGGTAAAGAGCTCCATTACTGGTGTGCTAGCTTCTTACATTCAATGACTTTCTCAAAAATATACAGCCTTCACTCTGAAGTCTCTTTATGCAGAATTCTACCACCTCATTCTTGTTCTGAAACACCTTTTGCATTGAAAAATAACTCTTACACTGAATACTAGAGGGCTGATTTATTTAGTAAAGAGGATCCATGCAGACATTTGTTTCTGCACAACACATTGAAATTATCTTCCTTTTCTATTACCATATCTGTGTGTACCTCCTACAGCCACCATTATAGATGGGCATGAACCACCAATTCATGCCAGTTCATCCACTGGTCCAACAGGTGTTCCACCATTCTGAGCTCCACCTCCTCTGGCAGCCACCTGCTCAGAGGCAGCTCCCAGAGGAGACAGGGCAGAGAAGCCAGGGTACTGTCTTTGAGCAGGTGATCACTGGAGCAGGCATGGCTTGGAACCACAGAACGTATGTTGGAATGATGGACAAACTGACACAAACTATTGGTTCGTGCCCATCTCTAACCACCACCATAACCACATCTAGGAAGGCATGGAAGTGTTTCTCATCCTACATGCCACTGTAATAGTATACAGTATTGACATTTCAAGTGGCTAACTCAACAAGAAAGAAAGAAAGAAAGAGAGAGAGAGAGAGAGGAAGGAAGGAAGGAAGGAAGGAAGGAAGGAAGGAAGGAAGGAAGGAAGGAAGGAAATTTGTGTCAAAACTTGCAACCCTTCTTTAAGTGTAAACAAGTTATTTGTAAAATACCTAAGTTAGGTTGTACTTTTATTTTCTTTCAAAAAAGGGAGTTAAGTCAGTAAGTTGCAGGCTGCCTCTGCAGTTTGGACTTCCTGCTGGCTTTTGTGCTCATAACTGCAATTAAAGATTCCAAGAAACAACCCTCAGAGCTGTCATGTTTGTGAAGTCCTTGTTGGGCACTAAAATGCTACCACAGCCTTTTAAATGAAAGACCTACAAAAAGTAAGTTTGTCCTTTCTCCCTTTTGTGGCCTCCCTGCTCCCCCCGGACTGAAGCTATATCCAGGTAACCATGACATTTTGCATCTTACAAGAAGTACTATCAATAATGAACTTTTTCATTTTTGAAAACCCTTATTTGCCTTTGCAGCAATACAGGATGTCAGCCCAAAAATAATTCACCAGTAAGTCAGACATCCATTTTCTGTGGCTTCTTGCAGTGCTTCCAGCAACTGAAGGCTTCAACTTCACAGAGAAGGTAAATTTCAAACGTTGTCTACCTACCGAATTTTGCAGGCAAACTTCAGAAAATAGTCTTTAGAAAGAACGTTTTTCCAAAAGTAGATTTGTAATTGTCACTAATGTCAAAATATCAGTTGGGGATGAAGAATACATTTTATCCTGAATGGAAAATTGTGGAAAGAGGGATCTCACTGTCACCTTAAATGGCTGTTCTTAAAAAGTTCACAGAATGCAGCCAAATAAGGAAACAGAAAGGAAATTACAAGTTTTGCAAATGTCTTATTAAAAACACGAGTTTATATTGTCCAAATGAGTGAAACAGCTTTGAACAAAATATGAATGTGACTAGAATTGTACATGCAAGACACAAGAGCGTCCTGGAGGTTCATTTGCTTGCATGTTTTGTTTGGTTCACATTCTGCCTAGGGAGGAATAGAAAGGTGTTGACATTTTCCCGAAGCTTGAGCATCAACCGCTTCCAAGAGAGTTCCTTCTTTTGATCCAAATTTGATAGGGGCACAGGATTCAAGCGGTTCTCCATGTTCCGAGCTGGGCACTCCTCCTGCTGCTTTGGCACACACACGCTCACAGTATTCCAGCGCCATCAGGAGACACTGTTTAATGCAGCTTTAAACTGGCACAGCTCCTGAACAGCTTTAAGTATTTATCAACTCAATAGGTCAAACGTCTGCAGACACTGGGTGGAGCAGCAGTATGCCACAAAACTAACAGCTGTCCTCCTGGAACTGGGGGGGGGGAAGCAGAGGGAGAAAAACCACGGGAGAGAAAGAGACAGCAGTTGTCAGTTCAAGATGAAAACATTGGCCCTTATCCACAATACACAACTTTTCTGGATAGTTAAAAAGTAAACAAAACAGGAGGGGAGTTTAAGCCATGGTAAACTAAGTATACAAAATATTTGAGTTCTCAAAATAGCAAGAGGTTTCCTCCTCTCTCTCTGTACTGTATGTATCTATTAGCTATGCATGTATTAGACTACCAAAGGTTTCACAGGTATGAAAGAAACACCTGGAGAGCTTCTTGGTCCCCTCAGTTGGGGAGGGGATGACAGTTTCCCCACCATCACTGATGAACTCATCCACTGAGTTCCCCATCCACTGAGGAATTTAGTAATCTTTTTATTTGTATCAATACTGCACGGACTGCAGACATACACCGTTCTAAAATCCATTTTAAAATTGAAGCACTGTTTAGTGACAGTGAGAAAAACATAGGAGTGGAAGACAGTGGCTCTCTAGAACAGTGGCTCCAACCCTGGTGTCCCCAGACATTCTTGGACTGCCATTCCCAGAAATCTTGGCCAGCACAGCTGGTGGGGAAGGCTTCTGGGAGTTGGGAACCACTGATCTAAAATTCTGTGACTTTTTATACATCTGAACAATAAAGGTGCATATTTCTGAGCACCCATGAGCTTTAAAACAAATACAATAAGTGGGTCTACTCCTTTTTCACACAAGGATCAAAGTCTTACTGTGCAAAGGGCTTCAGTTCCATCCTCTTTCCAGCTCAGAAGCCACTCAGCCTTAACAGAATTAAAATTGGGAATCTCTGTCCCCAGGATTCAGATCTGACTGGTGGAGCTATGATTTCCATATTTTCTAAATCCTCTGTGATCACCAATCAATGCGGGCTATTTTGAGTCTGGAAAAGGGCAACACATTGCTTCTCATAGGCCAACATAACATACTAAAGCTCTTCAGAGACTGATAGTATCTTTTGATTTTCAAAAATATTGGCATCTAAGACAGAATGACACTTTTTTTGGGGACTTATATACCGCCCCATAGCGCTACAAGCCCTCCCCGGGCGGTTTACAATTTTAATTATACAGGCTACACATTGCCCCCCCAGCAAGCTGGGTACTCATTTTACCGACCTCGGAAGGATGGAAGGCTGAGTCAACCTTGAGCCGGCTACCTGGGATTTGAACCCCAGGTCGTGAGCACAGTTTTAGCTGCAATACAGCGTTTTAACCACTGCGCCACGAGGCTCTTGGATTTGAAAACGAGAAGCCTATAAAAGCTGGATGCCAGGAAAATCTGAACCCTGCCTGCCATCACCCTCTTCCTTCCCTGTGCATCTACATTTTAATATTTTGTCTTGCTCTTAAATGGGGGTGGGCGGGGCAAGAATGAATGAATTTCCAGTTTACTCTGCCATTTCCTTTCTTAAATAATGACTAAACAAGTCCATAAAAGTGAAATATATGTATATGGCAAGAAATGTGTCTGTACATTTAGCTATGGTAGACTAGTACGAAAACATTTTCTAGTGTGTGTTCTTAGGGAGGGGGATTATGCAGCCAGCCGAAGCAACACAGACCTTTTAATCTTGAAGAATAAAGTGAAAGATATTCTCTTGTTTTGTTCTGTTTTGACATCAATAGAATGGCTGCCCCAGGCAGGCGCCTTTCTCTCTCACTTAAGCCCCTGTGAAAGGTCTGAAAGCCCCGAGGTTGTTTTCTCAGTAATTACCCCTGGTGCAATCCTGCCATCGGTGTCTCCCTCAAGGGAAAGAGCTTTGGGTAGACGATAGTAAACATGGGCTGGCTACAGCGGTGACAATGTCCCAGAGGGCAATGCAGCAATTCCAAGAGACTTCTGGGTAATGAAATGGGAGTCAGGAACTTCACACCTGGAGAAGAAAATACACAGAAATCATGCCTTCAGCAAAATATATTCAACATTCTTCTCGGTCGTCAGCGACACAGGATGCATGTCAGAGCTCTGTTCATGCTTGGCAAAAAAAAGAGAGAAAGAAAACAGGGAAATCAGGAAACGGATGGGCACCAAGGGAAACGACTGGTTTACCTAGCTCTGTAAGGCAGGGGCGACTGGGAATCGCTCCCCAAACTTTCAGCCAGGATTCTTGCCCAGCTCCACATGGGACCAAATCTGCCTCCTCTTGTGTCAAGCACATGCTCTTCTACCAATTTATAAAGGTTCTGATGGTAATCTGGGATGAACTACAGCAAAACAGAAAGCACGGGAAATAGCTTTGCTCAGGGTTTTCAGACTTTTATTTCATCGCATCTGAAGGGCCAGCTCACATTCATCTCAGTTGTCCTCGCCGTGCTCTGCTCAGCGCGCAAGGCCATGAACTCCCGAGGACTCTGAGCTAGCTGCATATCGGAGTGTCTGTCAGAAACCGAGGCCCCATGTGGCAGCGCGATGCAAGACACAGACAAGCCATGGGCCAGTTTTCAACAAAAAGCCTGAATTGGGGCAGAACTAAAGCAGCTCAGCTGTCACGTTGCACCGCCATGGCCGACGGGCTGCAGGCGCCTCTTCTGCCTCATGCTCCGCGAGCCTGCCAGCCTTGGCACTGGCTGCTGGAAAAGGGGCTGCATTGTTGGACTGATGCGCTCGCTCCTTCTTGCCTGGGGAACAGTATTATTTCTGCTGCTCCATTCCATTAGAAGGCAGTTGCTTCTTCTGCTCTGGACTGTGAAAAGGCTGCAGCCTTTTCTGCACCACATCTAAGAAAAGGCTCCTAAATGCTTTGTACCTCTCAACGGTAATGCGTGCCTGTCTTTGGGGGCTTGGAGTAAATGGGTATGGGAGGCCATTTGGCCGGAGTTGAAACTGCACAGCTACATGCTTCGGCTACCAGACTGGCAACTGTGCCGTTGCCATAAGCTTCTATTCTTTCATACAAGCTGATTGGCTTCACTCACAAGCATCCCAGATCTTCCTAACTACTGGAGCTAGTGACCTGCTGAGAGTCTGCAGAGCAGAACACCTCAACGGCCACGTTCCGTGAACTCCGGCTGGCCACTGTGAGTCAGAGACCACCTGGTATTTTCAACAGGGCTTATGCTTGTACACAGAGGTACTGGATACCTCCTTGCACAAGCTTCACAAAAGCCTCTGTCCTTGTGCAACAGAATATTGTGCCCATTGAAGAGGGCTAGAAGGTTCTGACCTGGGTCTCTTTATCCCATCCTCGATTTCTTTTTTTCCCAGGGGGTTCTGAAACTTCACCATTTAGTTAAATAAGAGACAGCCTATTTTGTCCCCCTGCTTCCCACCTGTACCCGTTATTCACCTTCCCTTTTTTCACCCATTAGCTTTCAAAAACCAGTTGCTCAAATTACAATTTCTCTCTCCCACTTGTCCTAATTTATCTCTTTCCCATGAAGTTTGGGTCAGGACATTTATTTATTTTTAAATGTTCTCCTCCCTTTCTTTTCCTTGGCATACCTACTTAAGACTGTGAAGGAACAAGCAAAGATTGCACACACACCCCAATGCAATGGTTTCTTTATAGTCAGGGGGCAGAAGCCTTTCAGCGAGGCTTCATTGAAGAAATGTTGGTGCCTGATACAAAGGGATAGTAAATGGTCACCCGTGCCCAACGCTGAACTTTTTTTTTTATCTCAAAGGCCAAATAATCTCGCCAATGCTTCTTCTCCACTGTTAACAATAAAAACGGCAAATTCTTAATAATTTTCTGTCCTTTCATGACATCTAGAATCAGCTGCATGGGGCAACCACCTCATAGCCAAATGATGGGACCAGGTCTACCTCCAGAGGTTATTGGACTATCAACTCCATCAGCCCCAGCCAGCATAGCCAATGGTGTGAGATAAGAGGAATTACAGTTCAACAACATCAGGGAAGCTCCCGTTCTCTGCTTTATAAAGGCATGACATTAAGGCGATGGATAAAACTTAAGAACCACAAGACTATAGTTCAGCTACCTTTTAAAAACCTGCTGTACGTGCAATGCAGGGTCCGCATGGCCATCTCTTGCAAGGGAAGCACATGGTCCAGCTCCGTTCCTATTGACTTCACCTCTGCTGGGAGGAAAATCGTCAAGTGCCCCGATGAAAAGGAAAGAAGCTTCACCTCCGATTTGAGGACAGGGGAACCACAGCTAGAGAGATATTTGGAGGAGGAGAAAAGTATATTTAAAAGAACAGGAATATCACATAATAGCAGCATTCAATCCACCTAAATAATGTGCCTGTCCGTTTTGTTGTAGCATGTTTTGCTAGCATAAGGACTCGGTTATAAAGAGAAAGTTTAGGTCTGCTTTCCCGCCTGAGATGCTAGAGTTTTCTGTTTGTGCAAACAACTATGTGTGTTCAGAACCACACACAAGGTTCTTTATAGTTAGGGCAGAAGCCTTCCAGGGATGCTTCGTTCAAGAAATGTTGGTGTCCGAGACAAAGGAATACTACATCCCGCCCCACCCCGATGCACAGTATCCAGTGCTGCCCCTTTTTCTCTCCAAGGCAAAAAAAGAGAGCTGTACATGAACACCACCTTTTCCAAGCAGAAGACAATATTCTTTTAGTGAATATTACTAATCTTTGAGGGAGGGAGGGAGGGAACTGTGCATGGTTTTTTTGTGTGTCTTGTGTTTGTTGTGGTCGTTTAGTCGTTAAGTCGTGTCTGGCTCTTCATGACCCCACGGACCACAGCACGCCAGGTCCTCCTGTCTTCCACTGCCTCCCGGAGTTGGGTCAAATTCATGTTGGTGGCTTCGCAGACACTGTCCAACCATCTCGTCCTCTGTTGTCCCCTTCTCTTCTTGCCTTCACACTTTCCCAACATCAGGGGCTTTTCCAGGGAGGGAGTGTGTTGTGGAGTGACTTATTTTATACATTATACTACATTGGAATCTGCTGGGTGCCAATTCAGAAAGGAATCACATTGCTTGAAGAACAAATTTCTTTGATATAATGCTTACGGAAATGTGCTGATTGCATCTATAGTCTGCATTTTTAGAAGCGCAGTTTAAAAACATCTTATCCACATTCTTAAAAATATAAGACACCATATGGCTCTGTCTTGCCAAATTCTAAGCAATCGGCGTAACTCGGAATCTACTGATACAACAGGATTTCAAGGGGCCTGTCTATCCCAGAGTTTGTCCCTGAAATCGATAAGTGAGCACAAGTGTCTCACTGGATAGCCTCTCTTTCCTAAATAACTGTGCCTTCCTTTCCTCTTCCTAAAGAGCTTTCCTTAAGTGAGGGTTTCCTGGGTTCCAAAAGAAAGGGAGCCATGGAATCAGAAATGTCTGGCAAAACACCTCAGGAAAGAGAAGCTTTCTGGAGTTAAAAGAACCACTCTCAGTTTTTAGGTTCCTCAAATGCTGGAAAACTGCCCACCAGTCCTTCAAGGATTAAGAAACAGAACAAGGGTTTGTAACTTTGTCTTCAGATATTTTTTGGACTACGACTCTCATGACTGGCTCTGCTGGCTAGGACTCAAGGAAGTTGTAGTCCAACCCCTGGATTACTGCAACTCTAGAAACAAGCCACTGTGTCTGTGTTGACACAACAATTAGATTTTTCAGTGTGACAATCCCACAGAGTTTATCAGCTTTCATTAGCCTCTAGACAAGTCAGACAGTTGCACACAGATGAAGATGGCACGAACACTATCCAACTCTAGGGCTGCAAATGATTTAAGGAGAAGTGGCAATGTACATAAAGAAACTGATTTAAAGAGATCATAGTCAACGTAAAGGGGACAGAATCTGTGCAGGAAATTGGGAACAATGAGCTCAACTGGGGATTTTTCTGAAGTCTGATGTACTCTGCAGAGTAGTTATGGAAGATGGGTCCCAAATGAAAAGAATGACGTGGCAGATCAGGAGAGAAGGGAAGCTGAGCTCTGGCTCCAGATTTCCAGAAGGAAATTTTTAGGCCAGCTCAGATCGCTGCTCAGTCACAAGGCTCACAAGTCAGCCCTTGGCATGCCTTTTTTCTTTGGCAGGAATAAATGGGTATAAATTGCCCTCGGGCTTCAGGACAAAGCATGAAACATCTACACTAGAAAGATCAGCATTTCTGAAAGGATGGTCTGGGGCCCTCTAGTATACCAAGAACAGGAGTCCCCTGTGCAACCGCAGAACAAACACAAGTTCTCTGTAAGTTCAATCCTACAGAAAAGGACGAAAGGGTCATCAAGTTAGCAAAGGCAGGGAAAGGAAGAGCCAATGCTCGTGAAAGATCTGTGTAATTTGCTACAACTAATTGATGAGGCGCTGAGGTCAACTGGAGTGGGTAGGAGACAGTGCCATCTGCTCTTGGTGTCAAAACTGCTAGTTACTGCTCTGATAGAGACAAAGGAAAGCAAACACAGTGCTTATTTCAGCTTTCCTATTTCCACTAGAAGAACAATGAAGATCTTTTAGCGCCATCAGCTCAGAGAAATTGCAATGTTTCAGAGAAAATCATATAAATTCACCGTTTGCATATCCACAACAACATTGTTCCAAAGAGACTGTGAAATTCACTTCCGCACTTTCTTCTTCTGCACCTCCACCTCTTTTAATAGATGTAAGCTTTCCTTGTCAAACGTAGGAAGACTGTACAGTATCCACAGATCTATATATATATAACCACCTGATAGAGGGCTAGCTAGACCTACAGGGATCATACCTGCAATTGCCATTTTCTTTAATGTTTGTGCTTTCAAGTTTTGCCAACCATGCCTAAAGCACATAGAGAGAGGTTTTTCAAAGTATGAATTAATCTAAATTAAACAAAGACATGCTATTCTGTTTGCTAAGGGAATAGGTTTTTGCCACAAAATTACTGTCTAAATATGAAAAGCAAGTAAACAAGATTCAGCACACTATTCCACAGAGCTTGAACAGTGTAGCAAAAATACACTTCAGAAGATAAAGTTGGTTGATGTGGTACTTGAAGGCATATAATATAGTATTTTAAAAAACCCTACAGCAGATATGTACATAAAAACACAATGATAGAATATTATAATAAAACAGATAAAAATCTGCTTTACTAGTAATTTTTTTTAAAATTCTGTTGCAACCAAGTTTCAGGTTGAGCATTTGGCACCTGAAATGTTCTAAAACATCAAGAAATGGCAGCTAGTAACAGGCTTAGCACAAGAACTATTTGATATTCAGAAAATTAATGCAGGAGATTTAGCACAATTGGAAGGAGCTGGCAGTCAAAGTAATCTCTTCAAAGTAATGTGATGAATAAAAATCATCTAAAAGAAAGTTTTACTTGAATGAGACAGACTTGTGTTTTTTGGAATGCATTAGAGGATAAGAGAGTACATGGCAATTTAACTCATATACTTACCCACTACAACCAATGACTTTATTATAAAGGTACGAGGGAAGCCCTTTGAGGTGAACATTGTTATCCACATAAACATACTGCAGTTCTCGGGAACGACCTAAATCTGTATTGAAGAGACAAAAAAGAGAGAGAGGGAGGGAGGGAGGAAGAAAGACAGCAATGTAGCTTTTAACATTCGCATCAGATGTATTTGAAATAACTTTTTTCTTAAAAAAGGAAAACCACTAGACTTCATAGGAAGGAACACTCATATCAGCAATGGTGATTGACTAATATCCTGTGATTAGTGAAACAGACGAAAGCTGTCAAAAAAGAGCAGGAGAATAAAAATGGAATAAGACAGGGAGGGAGGGGTTAGGCAAGTGTTTTCCACTTTGCATACAATGGACTAGAGTGAATAGATGATTCTCTGATTTGCTGCCATCCTAAGTTATTTTCAGTGCTGGTCTTTTTTTTTTTTTTTAATTAAAAGGGTTAAGGCAAGGGTGGGTGCGAATAGAAACCCTTTCCCTGAATTATATGGAACGGGACTGTGTCAATGACCTATGCCTAAATAACATGCAACCTTGATTACTGCTATATGTCGTAGGCTGGAATAATATTATTGAAATATCTGAAGGAGCTTTCCAGAGGCCTGCCCCACGGAGTGGAGAAGCATGTGTAATACATACATATGAAAACCATGCATTTGTCGTCTAGTGCTTGCTATCTTCCCTTCTGAACTTCTCAAAAAGAAAAAAAGGCTAAGTGAAGCCAAAACCACAAAAGGTTGTCTAAATGATTAGTAGCTGCTGGTCTAAGTGGCTCTCACCACTCTCTGATGCCATTAAGTTTCAAGCATCTTATCATGTAATAAACATTGCAAAATGCTTTTTGCTGAACACATTCCTCCTGGACTTTGTAGAGTAAGGAAGCTCTCCTCCATCTGATGCTACAAAGATAGTTTTCATAGGGCTTTTTAAAAGTCCTGTAATTTGTTTAAAACCTTTTCCACTTCCAGAGTAGGAGATCAAAGTCTTTCTGCTAGAACTGACCAAATGGTATGAGTCCTGAACAAACCCCCAATTCAAGTTTTTTTCCGCCCTTTTTTAACCTCAAGGCACTGACATATGCATTCCACATGGCTGAAGATGGAACAAAAGGGCTTATGTGCCTGTACTGACGTTCTTCAATCCTATTGTGAAAGCAGGCAGATAGGCAAGCTACACAATCTAGGACAATAAATCTCTCTGTTTATCACATTTTGGGATGCTAGGCCTACTTTATTAATATTAAATGCATGTAAAGCCTGAATAAAGGGGCAATGCAAAAAGGTATTTACTGTAATATACTGTAACCAACACAGCACTCAAGATACGATATTGCGTAACAGGCTGAACCTCTTGTCGCCACGTAGGTACCTGCCTACCTGTAGCACCTCCAGCCTATCCTTTGCCAGAATAGCCTCAAAACAATCCTGGTCAGAGAACTCCTCAAAATCTCCAGCTCAGCTCTGAAGCTGAGTCAGACTGCCATAAAACTGACAGGATGGCTTTCATGAAGCTTCATCCAAGGGGGAAAGCTAGTTGCTCATCACAATCCTCTGAGGGATACATAGCAATCGCTAGGCTGAATAGAAGTCTTGTGCCTCAGTGTGATCCACCCACTCCCTTGCTAAAAGTTCCTACAAAAATTGTTAGGAAGATCTTCGAATATCAGTCAAAGCCTCCACAAACATAACAGACTCTCCTTGGTGTCAGAAAAGACACTGTCAGGTAAAAATGGAGTAACTGTGTGTGCCATAATGCAAGTCTCACCTCACCATTTCTCTCTGGTAGCTTAACTTTCTAACTTCTGAAATTAGAGCAGCTACAGAAGAATATCCAAGGGCAATCCTAATTAAAACATTTGGAGAGTTACTTTTAAGAAGAATGAATCTGAACCCATCTGTAACTGCACAGAGTAATACTCTCTGTGTCAAATATTATCTTATCACTACTCAGTTATGAATGGCTTCAGCATGTCATTATACTCCTTTAAAGTAACTTCCTAAGCATTCCTTAACTGGTAGCCAAGCTCTTCTAAAACAAAGCAGTTTTTGTACCTTATTTATTACACTTACATCCTACCTCCCCTCTGGGAAGCTCCTAATTTTTAGGGAAATCAACCGTCTTGGTGTATACAACAATTTCAAATTTCTGTTCAAATTCACCTATTTGCTCTTGATCTGTCATCCACATGAAATCTTTGTCAGTTTATTGCATGGATTTTAAATTTGCACTAATTAGAAATCTGCAGAGTTCTTGTATATGGATAGCAGGTGTTTTAAAGAAAAAAACATTATTTCTTAGATGCATTCCACTTATTTCACAGGTGAGAATCTTTTCCTCTTAAACTGGTACCTATAATGTCCAATTTTTTTTTAAAAAATAGGAAATACCGTATTTTTCGCTCCATAAGACGCACCTTTCCATAAGACACACCAATTTTTTAGGAGAAGAAAACAGGAAAATATAATCTGCTTTCTTCGCTCCATAAGACACACAGACTTTCCACCCCCCTGTTTTGTGGGAAAAAGTGCGTCTTATAAAAAAAAATAGGAAATAGGTATTTCAGGGTAATCTGATGTCTGATTAATTAACAGGATCTTTCCCTTTGTTTCAAAGCTTTTTGGATCAGTTTAACACCACAGCTCTAGAAAATGACACAGAGAAGGCTTCAGGTTTCTGTTCTTCCTCCAGCTAACTAGCTATATTTATTTTTCTGTGGCAGCACAGTTTCTTGAAATTAAACTGTGTAATCTGCATCTACATGAGACAATGAACTGGGAAAGGTAATTTCTGCTCTCCTCTTTTCAATCTGGATTTCATGACAGACCATGACCTTGTTCTAAGAAGTGTGCAGACAATCCATTTTATGTTATTTCCTGAACAATACCTTCCCCTGGTGCCTTATCTGTACCTGTTTTTTAAAGATCTACCATCAAACAATAGCTTGAGCTACAACAGAGAGAAGGGTTTCTATTCTAAGTTTTTAATTAAAAAGAAAGCATTGCAAAGACAATGAAATCTCAAGCCCCTCTCCCCCTAATTCTACCCAGACACTATTCTGGTTGTTACAGAGAATTGCTTCTGTTATGATTTGCAGCTGATCAAGTGACTACTATTTTATCAGGAAAAGCCAACAATGGCTGTAGACAATAGCTTAAACAAGTTGAAAATGGGTTGAAAGATTTGGTGTATGATTCTATGCAGAGAAGACAGAACAAAAAAGCTGTTTATAAGCTGGAGAAATAGAGGTAAATACACACACCACAAGGAGTAATCCTACTTTCAATCTGTCTTCACCTACTGCCTTTCTTCATTTTATCACCAGCAAGTGCATGCCTACAATTGTGTGCAAAGCTATATTCAGAATATAATTTTAAATTTGTTTGCTAAATGCCAGGAGCCATTATGAACATGTTTCTAAAATCATTTCTACAGCAAAAGAGGTGCTTTCAGCATCCAAACTAACAAACAGCATGACTGTAACATATAGTTTTATCAGTCTAAATATATTAATTCACTTACTCAACTCTGTCAGCATATTATTTGCCCACCCAGAAACCGAACCGCCTAATTTTAAAGAATTTCTTCTTCTTTGCATGTGGGTTAATTTTTTTAATACATTTTGTAGACATAATTGCAACCAGGCTGTGGAACATGAAAACTAGAACTGCAAACATATGGAAAGACAACTTGTGTATGTATTTGTGATCATATAAACCTAACTATGGTTAAAGCGTTCTGCGCACAAATCCCTCCTGCACAGCAGCAAGAAAGAACGGCTTTCATGAGCATCCATTTGCCAGACTAGAAATCTTTTCATGTATGTATGTAGTGCCCTTAAAACCATGCCCACAGTCTGAAGCTATTTTCTGATACATAAGTAGTGCCTTCAGAGAAAGCTTGCCTTGAGGTTTCAGTAGTCATTCCAAAATTCAAAGCAGGAATATTGCCAGATTGTTCCTAGGGCAGCAATTTTTAGGATGTCACAATTATACCTCTGTCAGTGCAACCTGAAAGTAGGGGGAAAAGCCTGCCTTCAAACCACCATCTTTAAAATCCTTTGCACTGAATAACAATACTTTCAAGTAACCTCATCAACTTCCTTTCAGTCACTTTAGCTGCACAAGATAACACTACAATTTAAGAATATAATTGCTTACAATAATTTGGGAGTACTGATATTCTTGGAACAAAATAAAAATCATATATTAAAGTGAAAAGGTGATCAGCCTTTTTTCACTCTTGTTCTGCTGATTAAAAAGGATCACTCTTCTCTTTGCTACATTAATCAACCAATAATAATGTAGCCAGAACACTGGAGAGCCAAAACAAAATATAAGTATATTATAAAATACTGGAAACAGTATATTTTAGTCAAGCTGATAAGTTTGCTAAAACACGGCTGACTTGTATATTTGTATGAGTACAAAGACAGGATGACTGGGTTTAATTATACTGAGGTTTCACATCCAAAAGGTAGTATATTTGACTCTTATATGATCTTTAACTGGTGTCTAAGCTAGAGGTCATCTCCTCTCTTACTTGCTTTCCTTCTTCACCTAATTTTGAACACTTGTGATAGAGAAGATCACTCACCAAGTGGCAAGAACGCAAGACGGTTTCCAGCCATGGACAATTCATTGAGACTTGGAAGCTGGCAAAGGTGACGAGGGACATACCACAGATGATTCCTATCCACAGTTAGGTACTGAAGGGAGAGGCACATATGTAACCTTTCGGGCAATGTTATCAAATGATTGGTTGAAATGTCCAGTGTTTGTAGCTCTCGAAGATCTCCAACCTCTACAAACAAAACACCACAAATTACTGTAACATCTTCCACACTATGTAAAGAACAGTTAAACAAGGATGAATCTTCAAGGGAGAAACAGGAATGTCCCCAAAGACTGCTGAATAGCTCAGTAGTTTAGTTATCCGGTTGCAGAGCCAGCGGCTGTAAGTTCGATTCCCCACTGTGCCTTCCTGACAGGGGCTGGACTTGATGGCCTAGAGCAGAGGTATCACATTCAATTTCATCTTGGGCCACATTGCCATTATGGTTGCCCTCAAAGGGACAGTTGTATCTGTAAGCCTAGATAAATGCATCTACTCATTATGATATTAAATATAAATCTCGTCATTTGATTATTACTGGTTTTAGTAATAACGTAAGTAATAACTAGCTCTGAAAGTAAACGTCTTAGGATCAAAGTCTAGAAATAATGGCAAGCAGATATTCAAGTGTACAACTATCGTACAATTTATTGAAAAGTGAGTTTTAGTAACGCCTGTTGACTCCCGTTCCACAGCCACACCCATGTTTGTTTGTTTTGCTAATTATTCACGGAAGCTTCCCACCTTTCCCTCGTGCTTGCCATGGCCCTTGGCCTTTGTCATCGCCTGGCTCCTCACTCGCTTCCATAGCCAATGCGGGAGAGGAGGCGGAGATGGCTGCTGCTAGGCGACACCATTGAACAATCCTCACCGGGAGCCGTAAGAAAGGGAGTGGGAAATAGTGAGGGCTACATTTCCCAAGGTGCTGTACGCCGCCCAAGTGCCTGCACTTTCTGACTCTTCACTGCTTGGAATGCTGGGATTAGAAGTCCTGTTGGGTGGGTTCCCTGCATCCTTGCGGAGCATTATGGGTGACCAAGTAAGAGCCTGCATATTATATGCTGCACAGTAGCAGTCAACATTGCGAGGGCCACATAAAATGGCCCGTGGGCCTTGAGTCTGACAAATGCAATCTATAGCAGGGGTCCCCAGCCCCCGGCCTGATGCTGGTTCATGGCCTGGGTCAGACTGGGCAGCAGAGACAGATCTCCCACCCACCCCGCATGGACTTCCCTCGCACAGCCCCTTTGCACATACGTGCAAGTGCCTCCATCCCTTTGCACATGCGCACAAATGCCCCTGCCCTTCATGCATGGACATGAGTGTGCATGTGCCCGCGTATGCGCCCCCACTCCTTCGCGCAAGCGGGGGGGGGTACTCTGCCTTCCTCAACCAGTCCATGGTGTTAAAAAGGATGGTGACCACTGATCTATATAGGGTCCGTTCCACCTCTGCAGTTTTAAGATGATACTGACAAAGGACACATTTGCCCCCTCCCCATTCCTAAATTTTATGTACAGAAGCAAACTGGCCTGGCACATGAATTTTAGTTGAACTCTGAAGATGAAACAATTTCTTTTACTGAGAACAGAAGGCTTATATGGAGTGCAAGAGATTTTATGTGGCAAACACTGCACAGCATCTGCCACCACAGACATATGCCTCACTCTTCCTCGAGGTAGGATTGGCCCCTATTCCCCAAGAGAGCACCTCCTTTACACAGTACCATTCCTGAGACTCATAATGGCTAACCAAGATGTGCTATATTTAGCTGATAATGAATATGGCAGGTTTTACAGGATCTAGTATATTATTTATGAGCTATAGTCTCAGGCTACTGTAGTTCCTTTGGGAGCACATGTATGATGATATTACATTTAATGGAGATTTGTTGCAACTTAGGAATTTATTTTTCAGTAGCATCTATAATTCCATTCTCAAAGCCTATGCCAACTCCTTTTATGATGATGGCTGTCCCCTAGCAACTAAGCAAGCAGCAATATTAATTTGAAGCTCCATTAGACACAATGAAGAAAGAGAATAGGAACACAACAGTACATTTGTCTAAATGAGGAAACTCAAGAACCAGTATACAAAAGTTCTTGTTGTTCTCATGAGTTTTGTGCAAGACTAGCAATAAAAATCACAGCCATCTCATCTTAATTAAAAGAAGATTGCTTTCAGTGGTTATGATAGGAGGAAGCGAGTCTTCAATGCACACACAAAACTAAAGAAAAATCCTTACCAGATACGAAGTCTAATTTTGAAGTCTCGTTGATAATAACACACACACTTTATATTTATTTCATGATATACATACTGAAAGATACCAAGACATTTAACATGTGAACAAAAACTACAACCCAAGAGGTAGCAGGGTAGGTTTTCTAGAAAAAATTGAATTGGAAACAGTTATAGAAAATTTTGCTGTAAATTTTCCAATGATCTAAAAATACAGTGATCTTATTTAGCATGTTTATTTGACATACATTTGCAAAACATTTTTAGATGTTCCAACAACTCTTTTAAGTATTGGAATTGAAATGTTTTATATAGTAGCTGGAACCCTACTGATGTTCATGTAAGATTTACTGCAGCTCATTATGGCAAACTGACAAGTGCTAGGGTGCATCTCAGTTGCACAATCAGGCATGTAACAAAGACATGCTCTGCAACCAGTCAATTAGCTACAATTAGCCCCAGCATGTTACACAAACCTTACATGAACACCAATAGGATTCTGACTGCTGATCAGGCTAGAATGAGTGTGTCCAAAGTCCTTGATGCCTTCCACAACCTGATGTGGTTGTCAGAAAAAGGGCTACAAGTGGCATCCATTGCCAAGGTTCCACCTATGGCAGCCAAGCCCTCACTTGGAGTCTCTTCAATGGCTATGTGACAAGCAGAAGTGCTTGGAGGAGGGAAAGTGGGAAAACCTTCAGGGTGGGAAGGAGCTATAAAAGGGGAAAAGCCTGTAATAGAAGAAGAGTGTTAAAGAAGAGAAGGTGGAAGACATGGGGACTGAGGCTCCAAAGTGGCTTAGAGGCCAAGGATGCCAAGAAGGTATCTCCCATTTTGAGAACACAGACCTCAACCAAGAATGTCCTGCCCCAGGACCCAACACCCAATATAGCATGTGGCTGCACATAAGAACTCTTTGATCTGCCAGAGGCTGAACATGTGGTGGGGCAGCATGGGGATGTCCCTTTGACCTCTTTGGAAGTTACTTCAGGGCCTATGTTGGAAGTTGTTGAGACTTGGCAACTGTGTTGGAAGACAGTTTGAGCCTTGCGAAAGAGAAACAAATTCAGAAGGCTTGCCTTGCCTTTTGAAATCACTAAAGATATGAAAAGGAGAAGTAGGGAACCATAAGCAAGTAAGCTAAGTATGATTTTACAGGTGGAAAAAGAAAAAAAATGCTGGTACAAAAAGGAAGGCAATGGGGGCAACATCAGCTGCTATTACACTAGAGAAGAGGTGGGTGACGATTCTGCTCTCCAACTCACACAATATAATGGGTGTGTGACGTGCAGCAATGTAGTATTCTTTATACACCAAGTGTAGCCACCCGTAGGAAGAGAGCTTCCTGCACACTGACTGGCAAGTCAAAATCCCAGCTATTTTCGTACACAGTCTCTCCTCTGCTGCTAAAAATAGTCTTGCAGAGCCTGTCCAGGTCCAAATCCTTCAAGGCTACAGTTGGCAAACTGGCAAGATTCCAGAGGCAATGCTGGCCAAGGTATTTTTCAAGTCTTAGCGAGAGAGATCTATTTCTCATCTTTGTTGTTTATCCAGCAGAGCATTCATGCAACGACTCCATCCTTCTCTTATCCTTCAAAGGCTAGGAACACGTATGCCAAGAACAAAATAGTGCAACCCAATCTCAGAGTCAGTCAGATGGATGAGAAGTAGATCACTATTAAATCCTCATATCTTGGTGGAAGAAAATGTTCCAACAACAGACTGGATTTACACCAGAGTACCTAGAGCAAGGTGTTGGTAGAACTCCGCTACTATAAGGATGGAGTGGGGGATGGCCTGAGCTGGATGCAGCAAAGATCAGCCAGAATCTTGCACTTGAGTTTTGTCCTGTACTCAGTAATATAATGAATGAGATCTTGTTGTTTAGTATGATAAATTGCACTAAAAGAGGCCCCCTGAATCAGTGGGGATTTGGTGAGTCAGCTCCTCTGGAAGTTCCACTGATTCAAATGGTTGCAACTTACTACATTAAAATACGTCACAACTTGAGCAGGCCATTTGAATCCATGGACCTTACAGAGGGGTTGACTCACCAAACCCCCACTGAGTCAATGAGCCTACCTTTGACTGACTTGCTACACTAACCAACAGAATTTCAGCCCATTACATTGACAAAACAGGTAGTGAAAATAAAAATGCATCTACCAAAGTAGAGGGAGAGTCTCAGAAGACGCCAACTGTGCATTAAATAATCAAGCTCTAAAGATGAAGAACAGCAGAGTGCCGGAGTGCAAGTGTAAGAACCTATAGTGAAGAACAAGAGTATGTAACAAAATGTATTATGCAGCATCAAATACACTTCATATATCGCATATGGAAGTTTTAGAACTTCCTTACCTTGTTGAAAAACTACAACAAAAAAGTAACAACGGGAATTGTGTGTTAAGTTTCATGCAAGCCCATTTTTAAAAACAAATATATTCAACATTTCAGCATGGAGTTCAAAAGGTGTAATGTTTAACTAAATTAAGCAACAATCTATCCCATATTTTGTTATACTGTAATTTGTTACAGTTGGACAAAGAGCAGAGAAACATCCTTGTCTATTCACATGAATTCCTAAAAGCATTAATCTGTGTAGACTGTGATGTTTTTAACTGATAATCTTAATATTATTTTATTGTTATTCTTATCACTTCATTATCATCATCATCATCATCATTATATTTTATTTTTAGTAATTAGTTTTATTGTGTCTTATTGTAAATTTGGAATTTTCAAATGAAAGAGGTATTGAAACATTCCCAAATAAATAAGTACTGTAAATAGATAAATCTGTGAATAAATATTTAATAGTTCCCTGATTAGATGCCGTTATTTAAAAGCATGGATTCATATTTAAAACAATCTGCTTCAGATTACAGTGTTCTTTAAATACTTCAAGATAATGGCAAAATGAATGTCTTCCTCAAATCCACAAAAGTCCA